TTAACACCAGAGTGATGAAATAATTTGTACAACAAACCCCTGTGATAGGAGTTTACATATGTCACAAAGCTTCACATCTACCCCCAAACTTTTCTTTTTTTGAAAAAAAAAAAAGAGAGAGAGAGAGAGAGAGACTCCAGCCTAGGTGACACAGTAAGACTGTCTCTCTTTCTCAAAAAAAAAAAAAAAAAAAAAAAAAGGCGGAGGGAGCCAGAGACCTTAACAGACATCTCACCAAAGAAGATATCCTCATGGTACATATGCATCTGAAAAGATGTTCCACATTACATGTTATCAGGGAAATACAGATTAAAACACAAAAAGAGAGAGAGAGAAAAGAAAATGGAGGGCAGAGGGCATGGCAGATTGGAAGACTGCCTCTGTGTTCATTTTCAAATACACTAATTACACTAATAGAAACAACTTTCTCATTAACATTCTCATAATCAGTAAAGTTGGTGCTCTAAGTTGTAATATTATACATTCCTTCATAAACTCAATAAAGTCATTGTCACTCTTTATGAAAAAAATGCCTTTAAATGTTATGATTTATTTCTCATGCAAAATAACGTTCATTAAGTGAATTAAACTCCAAATCTCAACTTTTCTGCAGTGTTCTGCAACCTGTGGACATGTGATGATAATAATGGTGCTCTGCTCCTTATCTAAATTTGGTGGGAACATCGTTGATGCTGACCTCCTAGGATAGAAGCCCTTTGGAGTGGGGACTGCACACCTGGCATGAGGTAGGAACATCCCCCATGTGTCTGGACATGCTGAAGAAGTAGGTACCATAGAGCACTGATGCCTGAGGATGAGGGGCACCTCTGGGGGCAAGCAGAAACAGAAAGAAAGGAGATATTTTTAATATAATTCGTCTTCCTCGGCATGTGTCCCCAAAAGATTACACTCCATCCAACACCATGGATCTGGACAAACAATGTAGTGTATTCAGTGGCACTTTGTGATTTCTGCCTCTTGTAGCAACAACCTTTCTTAATAAACAGCTTCATACATCTCACCAAGCACTTGCTGTCTTCCTGAGATGTCAGCATAAGCACCTGGGTACCATCAGATAGACTTACACTTCCCAGTTGAACACTATACTGCTTATCTCCAAGAATCAAGAACAGGGAGTGTGTGTGTGTGTATGAGTATGCAGATGCCCAGAGAGAGAGAAAGAGAGAGACAGAGAGACCACAATTTCTTTCCAACGTCATTTTATAAGGTTCTGGACAGCTTGGCTGGCTGCAGTCCTGATATTATAAAACAGAATTGATTTGCAAGGACTTGAGCCAGGAGAGGGCACACCTGGGAGGCAGCTGTGAGATCAGCACAGAGCAAGGGGGCAAATGCTGAGGTATCTTGAAACCTACAGCAGAATAAAGGGTTCGGGGCAACCTGAACCAGAGCCAGAGTTTAGTGCTCCCTGATGGGACTATTGAATTCATCAGGGCCAAGAGAGAACCAAGTGCCAGCCTTTATCTTGAGAGAGGAAGGAGGTTCTGTGTGTGTATGGAAAATTAAAGGTCTGAAGAGGAGATGTAGTCAATGTGTTAAACCTGAGATTACACTGAATGACTTACAGCTGGATTCTCACTGAAATTTCTTTATTGCAACTATTCCAAAAAGATATCCACTATTTCAGGAGTTTCACTACACACTAAACTGACAAAGTGATTGTTTAGATGAGTGTTCTCAACCCTGAGTTTTCTTTAGAGTCTTTAGAAAATACCCACTCCAGACAAAATGAATCAGAATTTCTGGGTGAGGGATCCAAAGATGGGTAGTTTTAAAAACCTTTCTATATAATTCTAATATGCAGCCAGGATTGAGAACTGATGGCTTAGGCTGAGATGGGAATGAGGTACCAAAGGAAACTAGAGAAAGAAAGATTGTAGTTGAAAGGTTGTGATTCCTGGGTTTAGCCTCAGACAAGAAAAGTTTCCTCATGTTTATGCTTAAGTGCCAGAACAGAAAGAAACAAGACACCTCAGCCTGTGATGAGTCGGTCAAAGGGTTGGCAACAATGAATTTAATCTGTGACTACCAATCAGAAGCCAAACTCTGAAGACCCCAAAATAGAAACAAAACTAGACAAACTGGGGGATGAATAATACATTTGGTTGTATGTTTCAGTCAACTATCAAGGATTCACAGAATAGAAACCCACTTAAGGTAGCTGAAGATTAGGAAGGTTTGTGGTAGAGACCCAAAAGGTAATTTCAAAGCATCAAGGGATTTGGGCTTCCAGAGCCAGGAACCAGACACTCAGGGACTGAGGTCACTCATTTCACCTCTCGGTCATTTGATCTCCGTCATCTCTGTTCCTCTTCACACATCTGCTTCCTTCTTCCAGTGCAGTTGGCTTTCTCTGATTAAACACTTTACACAAGGTCCAACATACAAGTGATTCAGCTCTAATTTATCACTATCTTTCATGTCCAGAGCCCAACACTGACTCACCATTGTTAAGGTGTTTCTTAGTTCAAATTTTCAGCAGAAAAGGATCTGGTCACTAGTCCAGCAAAGGACAGCTGATCTTATCTAGCTTCAGGCAAGGTGTCAATCTCCTCCCATAAACTAGGGTATGTGTGGAAAATGTCTTGTGGTTCACAGGCTGAACACTTTAGGAGACCATTGGAAGGGCAGGTGCTTATATAGTAGCTATAGGCAAGGCAAGTAAAGAAGTCCATCTAATTTCCATCCATAACTGATGAAACAGACACATTTTGCTTTCCCATCTTCTACCTTCCAAATATGGGTGGATATGGGGGAGATAAGGAGGGGCTTGAAAGAACATGCCCTGTTCGCACAGGACCTAGTCTAGCATCTAAGAGAGGTAACCACAAATTGGCATCACTCAAAGTCAGCCTACAAATTCTCAACCAGCATTTATGTGCATGATTCTACATGTGTTGTCTTCCTCTGGAAATCACTGAGAAATCCATTGTTGGTAATGTTGAAGCCTAAGGATATTCAGAGATTTTAACCTCGTACTTTCTGCTATACTGTGGCATGTGAAAATGGAAATACTTAGACATTAAGGAGGAGTCTCCTACCCTTGGGCTTTTATCTGATCATTTGGAAAATCCTCAGTTAACATGCTGTTATAGTGGTTTGACAGTTCACTTGACAGCTCTGAAATAACATTCTTGACTCTTAGATGACAATCTTGTACTGAAACACAAAATGGCTCTTTTCAGAAATTTAGAACTTCAGCCAAGTTTTGGGTTCAAGAAAATAGTGGTGTGTGGATTTTTTTAAGCTCCCCAAATGGATAAATTGTATGTGAACTCTCTTTATGTCCAACATCAGCTATTGCACCAAATAATTGAACTGTCATATGTCCTTTGTTCTTGTAATTAAGTTCGGCTGCATTGAGGCAGGACTAGTCTGGACTTGGGGGTCATGTTTAAAGGCAGCAACCTAGGGTAAACTTATCCTCCAATCCATGGACAGTCTGAGTATCTTTTTCCCCTCTTTGGAGGTAGAGGCAAAGTGAAAGGAGGAGAAGGTCCACAGGGAGAAGTAGGGGGAGCACTAGCAACAAATGTTGCCAATTTTCACTTTTCCCATACCGTGTGGTCCTGAATATTATGACTGTGGCCTCCGTGCAATGCCATCATACCAATGTGCAATCATCTATTTTAGAACCTCAGATGGCATCAACTATTTTAGCTCTTGCCCAAGTACAGCTATTGCACATTCTGAAAGAAGAAAGAGAACGAGAAGAAGACTAATACTCGTATCTTACTGACAAAACAAAACACCTTTAAAACAAAAGGATGATTTATCTGGGCTGAAAATAAAACTCCTGCCTACTGAAGTCTGGTGCAGCTGAGTTATCACTATTTTCGTCCTGTAATTTGTTTTATAGGGAACTAATTAACAGGGCAAAGTCTGAAGCCAAGAAAGTAAATCCCATTTTGCTGTTTTCCTTTTCTCTAGCAAGATGCAGACCTGGTCTTTAATTAAAGTGCAAGTTCCAAGGGTACTATCAGCTACCGAAATGGGGAAACACTGGGCAGAAAAGATCATGGTGAAACCTGCTGTGTAGAGCTCAAGAAAGATAATGGCAAAGAGAGGAACTGCACAGGCAACCTCCAAAAGAAGAGATTGTTTTCCTCAGATGTCCCCTTCTTATCCATCTTTTATCTGCTCCCCATAACTCAGAATTTCTTCCCTGGCTCTACTCAACTGAGCATGTACCACGAACATCCTTTTTAAAAACTGGATTTCAGGCCCGGTGCGGTGGCTCACACCTGTAATAACAGCACTTTGGGAGGCCGAGGCAGGTGGATCACATGAGGTCAGGAAAGCCCAGCCTGACCAACATGGTGAAACCCCATCTCTACAAAAATTAGCTGGGCGTGGTGGCGCACACCTGTAATTCCAGCTACTCCGGAGGCTGAGGCAGGAGATCGCTTGAACCCAGGATGCAGAAGTTGCAGTGGGCCGAGATCGGGCCACTACATTCCAGCCTGGGCGAGAGTGAGACTCTGTCTCAATACATACATACATACATAAAATAAAATAAAAAGTGAATTTCTTTTCCCAGATAATTCCTGTTTTGGGAGCGGCGTTTTTTTTTTAAAGGTAGCTACTTTCCCATCAAACACCCCTGTCCCAACCTCCCCCTTCTCTGGGGTTTCTTTTTGGATCTGATCCCTCGGTGATCTTTGAGGTTGGGCTTTGCTGCCCGGCAGGTGCCACTCATCCTTCACCCCTCCTCTCCCAGCTCACCCTCTTCGCCGCCTGGTCTCAGGGTCTTCTTCACTCCTTTCTCCCTCTCTTTGTCTCTCTCCCATCCCATTCCTGGAAGTTCTGGACTGGAGGTGACTGCTCTGGCTTTTCCTCCCTCCTAGGACCCTCAGATAGTATAGGGGGCAAGGGGAGTGCGGCGGGGAGGGCGCAGGATGGGTTGGCGAGGAGAGTGAGTGCTGGGTTCGCACCGGGAGCCGGGAGCCTGACGTCACCACGCCCTGCCTGTCAATCTCCAGCGCGCGCCGCTCGCAGCCGCCTTTTCTGCCACCAACTGTGTCTCTCACTCGCGGCGCCGGCACAGCGACAGGCGCCCCGCGCTTGCCTCCTTCCCGGCCGGGCCGCCTCCTGCAGGCAGCTGCTCAGTCCGCGCGGGGAGCTCAGCCCGGCGCCCCGCCTCAGCGCCCATGACCAGCGACTTCCAGAAGTCCTGACGCCCCAGGTGAGCGGCCGAGTTCCCCAGGGAACTTTGAGGATGTGGGGAGAAGGATAGCCAGGGGACGGGTCTTTCCAGAAGAGGAGAAATGGAGCCAAGCTTGACTCCGACCCTCCAATCCCCCCATACACACACCCTAGTCTCTCCTCCCAGACCCCCTTCGCAGGGGTCTCTGGGCTCCAGGGCGCTCCAAGCTTCGCAAGGGCAGAAACTTCGCTTTCAGCACCACGGACAGCGTATCCGCTGCCCAGCTCCCTGGAGATGTCCTGGTCGCGCCGCCACAACCCGGGCGGGACTCTCCCAGGATGACACTCCTAGCTGGTGCACTCGTATGCGTGTGCAAATACAGGCATCCTTGGAGAATTGATCCGTGTGCATGTGAGTGCATGTTGTCCTGGTGTATATCTGTGCAAAAACTCAGAAGTCCGCGTGGGTATTTCACTCACTTACTCAACAGGTATTTATTTTGGGATCTCACTTAACCCATGATTCCCCGATTTGCTCTGGGGTCCCAGGGTGGGGTGGACAACTCAAGTGGTGCAATGCGAGAGGAGGCTCTATGCGTGGGAAAGTTTCCTGGCAGCCTGAAGGGTACACCTGACGCCTGCACTCCCTCCCTATGCAGGGTGCAAATCCGGCCGCAATGAACGCGAGCGCCGCCTCGCTCAACGACTCCCAGGTGGTGGTAGTGGCGGCCGAAGGAGCGGCGGCGGCGGCCACAGCAACAGGGGGGCCGGACACCGGCGAATGGGGACCCCCTGCTGCTGCGGCTCTGGGAGCCGGCGGCGGAGCTAATGGGTCTCTGGAGCTGTCCTCGCAGCTGTCGGCTGGGCCACCGGGACTCCTGCTGCCAGCGGTGAATCCGTGGGACGTGCTCCTATGCGTGTCGGGGACAGTGATCGCTGGAGAAAATGCGCTGGTGGTGGCGCTCATCGCGTCCACTCCGGCGCTGCGCACGCCCATGTTCGTGCTGGTGGGCAGTCTGGCCACCGCTGACCTGCTGGCGGGCTGTGGCCTCATCTTGCACTTTGTGTTCCAGTACGTGGTGCCCTCGGAGACTGTGAGTCTGCTCACGGTGGGCTTCCTCGTGGCTTCCTTCGCCGCTTCTGTCAGCAGCCTGCTGGCCATTACGGTGGACCGCTACCTGTCCCTGTATAACGCGCTCACCTATTACTCGCGCCGGACCCTGTTGGGCGTGCACCTCCTGCTTGCCGCCACCTGGACCGTGTCCCTAGGCCTGGGGCTGCTGCCTGTGCTGGGCTGGAACTGCCTGGCAGAGCGTGCCGCCTGCAGCGTGGTGCGCCCGCTGGCGCGCAGCCACGTGGTGCTGCTCTCCGTCGCCTTCTTCATGGTCTTCGGCATCATGCTGCACCTGTACGTGCGCATCTGCCAGGTGGTCTGGCGCCACGCGCACCAGATCGCGCTGCAGCAGCACTGCCTGGCGCCACCCCACCTCGCCGCCACCAGAAAAGGTGTGGGTACGCTGGCTGTTGTGCTGGGCACTTTCGGCGCCAGCTGGCTGCCCTTCGCCATCTATTGCGTGGTGGGCAGCCACGAGGACCCGGCAGTCTACACTTACGCCACCCTGCTGCCCGCCACCTACAACTCCATGATCAATCCCATCATCTATGCCTTCCGCAACCAGGAGATTCAGCGCGCCCTGTGGCTCCTGTTTTGTGGCTGTTTCCAGTCCAAAGTGCCCTTTCGTTCCAGGTCCCCCAGCGAGGTCTGAAGGGCTCGCTCCATGTCCTCTCACCAACACCACACCCCCAACAAGCCAGCCTTTGGTAAGCTTGGTACCTGCTGATGAACTCTGAGATCCCAATGGTGTGAGTCTGACTGTGGAAAGAAAAAGGGACTAAAGAGAAATTCAACAAACTCAAAAGGACAAAGAGGCTTGTTGGCACTTTACATATACAGTGTATACATGTGTACATATATATACAAATATTTGTATCTTCTGGAGGTGTTCAGGATGTGGAGCTTCCTATTCTGTGAAAAACCAAGAAAAAGATACGATTGTATACTCAAATTGTACATCACATTTGTCAAACGAATACATTCCAATACTGCTTAATTATAGCACTTTATTTTTAGCTGCTGAACTGCCAGAACAGTGTTGCCATTTTCAAGGGCAGGGAAAAGGGAGTAAAAGGTGTATTTTTGTTGTATGTGATAGAATATTTTGCTGCACATGCATCAAAAAATTACAACATATTTTGTACACGAATAAACCCATTACAAGAATGTAATTTGGGGTATGTGACTGACTATAGAATTACTATTAGAAAGCTGAATTATAAGTGTATAAGTGTCTTTATTTCCTTTCTTTCTTGTTTGCTTGCTTTCTTGCTTTCTCTTGCTTGCTTTCTTTCTCTTTTGTTTGTTCCAGATAGAGTCTCACTCTGTTGCCCAGGCCTGAATGCAGTGGCCCAGCTCAGTGCAACCTTGAACTCCTGGGCCCAAGAAATCCTGCCTTAGCCTTCCTAGTAGCTGGGACTACAGGCATGCCACAGCATGCAGCTTACTTTATTTATTGTCTTAAGTTTTTAAAATTTCAATAGATTTGAGGGTACACGTGGTTTTTGGTTACATAGATGAGTTCTTTCGTAGTGAATTCTGAGATTTTTGTGCACCTGTCACCTGAGCAGTGTACACTGTACCTGATATGTAATCTTTTATCCGTCACCTCCCTCCCAACCTCTCCCCAATCCAAGTCCCCACAGTCCATTATATCACTCTGTGTGGTTTTGGGTCCTCATAGCTTAGCTCCCACTTCTAAGGGAGATCATATGGTATTTTATTTTTCATTCTTGAGTTACTTCACTTAGAATAATGGCCTCCAGCTCCACCCAGGTTGCTGCAAAAGACATTATTTCACTGCTTTTTATGACTGAGTAGTATTCCATAGTATATTCATATATATATAGTATCTTCTTTATCCAACCATTGGTTGAAGGGCACATAGGTTGGTTCCATATCCTTGCAATTGCAAGTTTATTATGTAGCATTATTCTCCTGAGAAAACCTTAATGTAAAAAAGCATATGCATTTGCACATTGTTCATAAACTTTCACTGAAACACCAAATTTATATCATTGTGGTTGGGGAGGGAGGGTGCAGGAAGGGAGTAATATATTCATGTAACAGTATTCACAGGACAACAAAGCGTTACTGGTGTTATCTGTGCAAGTTAATCTACTCCCTCAGTTACTGGGTTTCAAAAACAAGTATCTGAGGATGTCTTCCTCTCATTCCCTGTGCACTTGTGAATCCTGAAACCACAACTTTCAGTTGTAATTTTTCCCATATGGCAAGAATTTTAAATGTTTAAAATTCATGTTGACTTAATACATTGTTGCTGGCCAGATCTTACAGTAAAATGCACAGGCTGGTAAAATGAATAACTTCTTCCAAGACAGAATTCCAATATATATATCTCCAATCTCACGAGGTACACAAAAGTATATCCAGTGTCCTCTCTTGAGGTACTCTCGTCTTCAAAAGAGGGCACTAAAATCCTTAAGCACTAAACATTCCCATTCCACTGATAGGTGTGAGTCATGATGATTCCCCTCCTTCCTTTCTTATAGGATGATGTGAGGATAAATCGGAGAACACATGAGGGCATGCTCTGAACCCTCTGTGAATTAATATGCACAGCAGCACAAGTCATTGCTACTCTTAGGCCTTAGGAAAATACACACGAGAAAATTTATTGAGTTCCCACTATCCTACTACAATTGAGTTATTAGACACAATTCCAGGGATTGGAATATGGAAGTGAAAAAAAAAGAAAAAAAGACAAGAAGTCTCAAACTCCATAGTGCTACCTTCTAGTGGGGAAGATGGCCTACAATCAAACAAATATATAATGTCATGTTAGGATAAATGCTAACAAAGAAAATAAAGGAGGATGAGGGATAGGGTGCTCCACTTAGGGTGGCCAGGGAAGATCTCTCTGAGGAGATAACATCTAGGAGGAAAGCTCAGTGAAGGGAGAGTGAGATGCATGAGCATGCAAGGGAAGAGCTTTCCAGACAGAGGAAGCAGCAAGTGTGAAGGCTTCCAGGTGGGAGCATGGCCATCAAGTTCAAGGAACAGCAAGGAGGTCAACGAGGCCAGACAGACTGAGCAAGAGGAAGAGAGGCATGCTGTTAACTTGGAGGACCTGGGATATGATTATCTCAAACTTCACAAGCCACTATAGGGACTTGGGCTTTGACCCTGAGTGACATGATATGATGTTTATTTTTTAAAAAATCACTCTAGCTATCCTGTTGAAAACAGTCTCTAGGAGGGTCAGAGTGACAGCAGGAGATAAGGGTTTATAAACATAATCCCCATGAGAAATGACAGTGGCTTGGAGCACAATGGCAGTGGGGGAGATGGTGAGAGTAGTAGGTTCTAGAAACGTGTTGAAGGATAGATGGGAGGTGGGGCATGAAAGAAAAATGTTCAGAATTCATCAAATGAGGGAATGCAGGGGTCTTTAGTGAGCAAGGAAAAACTGAGGGTTTGGGGGAGTACATTGGGAAGTGTGATGATTAATTTTATGTGTCAATTTGGCCAGACAATAGGGTACCCAGATATTTGGTCAAACACATTTTGATCATTTGAAGGCCTGAATAGAACAAAAATATGGGCCTCCCCCAAGCAAGAAAGAAGTCTTCAGTGGGTTTTCCTTGGATTCCACTTGCAACATTGGCTTTTCCTGGTTCTATGGAAGATGGTCTTGAGACTGGAACTACAGCGTCAACTTCCCTGGGTCTTCAGCCTCCTGGCCCACCTTGCAGATTTTGGACCTGTCAGCCTCCATAATCATTGAACTATTCCTTAGAATAAATGTCTTCATGTGCACATATGTGCACACACACACACACACACATGCACATCCGATGGGTAGGATATATCTATGTACATATACACCCTATTGGTCCTGTTTCTCTGAAGAATGCTGACTAATACCGGAAGGGTGGCAAATTTAAAAAGTTAGTTTTAAATACCTAGAGAGTGCTCACGTGTGAAGTTAATTCATTTATTTATTTCACAAACACTTCTATAGCACTTACTATATGACAGACACTGCTCTAAACCCTTTACAAATATTAGCTTATTTAATCACCATCTTTATTTAATTCCAAACTGGTTACGTCTCAGCAGGAGGCAAATGGCACACTCAAATGAGGTGACTGAGGAGAGTTTAATGAGGAGACTATTTATAAAAGTGTGAGCATAGTTAAGGGAAATCATCAAAGAATGGTGAAACGCCCCCAGAGCTGGCACCAGCAGGGCTGTGAGAAGGGGGAAGAAGAGAGAGTAATTACTGGAACCAGGAGAGAGGGCTTTAGGTCTTGGCTGTCCAGCAGGAGCTATGGCCTTCAACAGAGGAAGGCAGCAACAACCAACCTAGGGCTTGATAGGGAGAGATCTGGGAGAATAAATTACTTTCTTCCCTCCGTCCCACCTCTTGATGGAGGCTTCCATTAACTAAACTCAGTCAGAAGCCAGACAGCAAGACAACTCTTTGGTGCAGGCCACACAGATCAGCTTCTCTGGGCACTGAGCAGATAGAGAAGGGTGAGAAGTAGACCTGCTAGTGCAAACAGAATATCCAGCACAAACGCTGTGAGCGCAGTACTCTTGTTTCTCCACTTTTTAGCTGAGGAAATGGAGGCACAGAGAGGTTAGCTATGCATATCTGGAATTCAGGACAAAGGTCTAAGTAGGACAAATGAATTAGGGACTTATCAACATATAGGTAGTATGTAAAGCCATGGGTCTAGAAGGGGTCACTTCACGAGTACTCGTAGGCAGAAAAGAGAAGAGGGCCAAGGACTGAGCCCCAGGAAATGGAAGCATTTAGAAATCAAGAAGAAATTGAGGATCAAGCAAGGGAGAAAGAAAAGTGATCAGTGAGGTGGGAGGAAACCAAGAGCACAGCGACCCAAAAAAATAAAGAAAAAAGTGTGTAGGGAAGAAGTAGTCAACTGGCTCAAATCCAGCTGAGAGAGTAAGTAAAATGAGAACTTTAAAAAATGGCTAAAGATGATGTCATGTGAATGTCTTTGGTGAACTTCACAAGAAAAGCTTCAGGAGAGAGAGGAAAAAAAAAGCCTGACTGTAGAAGCACAAGAGAAAACGTATGAGCAATCTAGTCTCCAGCAACTCACAGCAGAACTGTGACCTTTTCAATGCTATAAAACACACTACGTTTTATAGATGTAGAGTTTTACACTGTCTATAAATTCAAATCAGGGAAGATCAGCATTATTGCCAACTCATCAAATTAAAATTTTCTAAAGTATTAACCATCATAGACTCTTCAGCATCACCAGACACTGGTTCAGGTCCTATTATCATCTGGAAAGCATTCAAGTGAACTAAAATGTAAAAGCTCTTGCTGTCAACTTTCCCATATGTGATGGGGAAAACAGTATAATTTCAGAAGCAGAACAAAGAAGTCAATATTATTTTATCTTTTATACTCACGGAGAAAAAATTTCCTGCAATCATCACATTAAGAAAGTTCAACACTAGAATAATAAGACATAAACCATGGATCTGTCTTCAGTGCACTTATTAATATTCAATACCAGCCCTGGTCCTAATCAAAATGTTTGAGAGAGCCAAGTATAAGAAGATATTAAACAATCAAGTTGTTACTAATGCCAACTTACACAGTTGACCAGGCTGTGTAATATCAGCAGGCTTAATATTAACCAACCTAGGAATATGAAAATATAAAATTGTGAGAATATCTTGAAACATTTCCACAGAAGAAAGTCACATATTCATTTGACCTATCAAATATTAATTAAGAATTACCTACTGCAAGATCCTATGCTAGTTGCTAGAAACATAGTCTTTTTAAAAAATTCTTTAAATTTCTTTATTTTTAATTTTTTTGTGGGTACATAGTAAGTATATATATTCAAACATACAGTCTTGGAGAAAGGCAAGACTCACTCAAACAGCTACCTACCTACCCACTTTGTTGTCTAATGGGCATCCTAAATTTAACACATTTAAAACTGGACCACTGATCTTCACCCCCAAACCTGATCTTTATCCCTTATGTGTAAGTTAACAAAAATGTCATCTTTCTAGGTGTTCCGGTCAGAAACCTCAGACTCACACTTTCCCTTCTATTTCTCTCATACCTCACAATCAATGTGTCAGCCTGTTGTCTTTACCTTCAAAGAATATCCGGAATCCAGACACTTCTCACCATCCACACCACTCTCATCATCTCTTGCCTGAATTACTATAGCAGCCTCCTGTCTTGTCTCCCACT